GGGCGGGACCGTCGCGGGCACACACACACACACACACACAGACACTCACTCTCTCACACACACATCTCATAACGAGCTCATCTCGGGTGGTGTATGTTTTCGGACCGTCTCTTACCTGACCTTGCATCGTGAAATAATGCCACTCAATATTTTGCCTCTACCTGTGGTGAGGTGAAGTTTCACTCTATGATGCGGATGTGTGAACATGCAAGTAGTGTGAGTGACATCATGCGAATAACGGGGCACGGTGTAGCAGCTGCGTTCGCACACACACGTACGGGCGACAGGACAGAACCGGTGTGTATACCGCTAAACGCACCTCAGCTCAGCCCCCCCCCCCCCAAACTGGACCCCCGGCCCCCTTTGCCCCCTTTATGATCGTCTTGAGACACTTAATGGGTGACCCGCGATCTGCTGCAATAGACGCCGCAACACCTCACTTCATTGCCGTTTCCAACGAGAGTAAACCTTTCATGTTCGAAGAGGGTAGGGGTCGCACTAGCTGACTAGTGTATCATCACAAAAAGGGGTAATGCACTTTAAAGTGTTATTTCAAAAAAAAAATGTTACTAGGCAAATTTCCTAGTAAAACTTTTAGAGTGTGCGACGTCAAATTCCCGAAACATTTTCTTGTAATTGAACCCTCATTGCGATATGTGAGTGCACACATGCACACACGTGCTCTTGGACCTGTCCAGGTAGTCAGCAGCGCCCCGCCTGGTGGTCACGTGGTCCCAGCCGTGACCCATACCGTTAGCCGACCGGTGGCGCCCTCTGTGCCCCGCAAGGTCAGGGCCGTGCCGCCGGTGGTGGAGGTGGTGGCTGAGGGGTATTCACACCTCATTCCCCGCTGCTGTTAATTATTGCCTTTGAAAGTAAGAAAACAAAAAAGTTAGTGGAAATAGTGTGCTTTTTTTTCTTTATTTCCTTTCTTCGGGATTTAGGACTCGTGCGGGGGACTGTATCATCGGGCGTCTGATGCTGCTGTTTGTTTCTTACGAGGCGTGCGGAGGTGACATGGCGTGAG